CGACATGTCAAAGCTTCAAGAATCGCGGAACTTCAAGAAGAGGATCAAAAAGCTGGAAGATGCCAACAAGAAGCTGGTGCTGGAGCTGGAGCATGAAAAGGGGAAACTGGCAGGATTGGCTCAGTCCCACAATGCACTGCGTGAGCACTCTAACGTCGTGGAGGCCGCGCTGGCCAAGAGAGAGTCCGATCTGGTCCAACTCAACTTACAGGTAATACGTGGTGTCGTCTATCAATGTGAAATATGAAGTTTTTTTGGGTTTTTTTTGTTTTTTTTTTTACATTTTAGCGCCACCTTTCTCTCTTTAGGTTCAAGCGGTGTTAAAGCGTAAAGAGGAGGAGGACCAGCAGATGAAGCAGGTGGTCCAGACTCTGCAGCTGGCCTTGGAGAAAGAAAAGAGCAAAGTGAAGGACCTGAAAGAGCAGGTTTGGGAAAAAAAAATCAGGATATTATTCCTGTCAACAGGAAGTGGATAACCTTCCTGCTTCCTGCCACCTGATGTTGTCGCCGTCATAACCCAATATGTCCTTCAGGTGGCGACGGTGAAGGCTGATGCCGCTCACAGCAGGAGGCACTACAGGGCGGCCATGCTGGAGCTGTCGGAGATCAAGAAGGACCTGCAGACCAAAGACGACCTGGTCAGAGCGCTGCAGATCGAGGCGCAGCAGCTACAGTACGTGAGACGCTCAAAAAATGTATACATTTAAAAAAAATAATAAAATAGTACACATGTATACTATTATTTATAGTATACATGTATACTATTATTTATTTATTTTAATAACAATGAATGCTGTGAAACGACGGTGGAGCAGCTCGGGGATCTGGCTGTGGGGAAGTGTTGGAGCCAAGAGATATCAGAAAAATGTTGTTTAGAAGAGATGGTGAAATCATTTATGGTCCGTGGCCTAATTTATCAAAGGTTTACAGCACCTTAGACGGAGGAGTGGAAATAATGATTTGCTGAGAATTTATGGTCACGTGGAAATGTTTAACACACACACACACACACACACACACACACATATACATATACGTATATATATGAATGTATGTATATGTATATGTATATATATGTGCATATGTCCGTATATATGTATATATGTGCATATGTACATATATATGTGTATATATGTGCATATGTACATATATATGTATATATGTGAATATGTATGTATACATGTATATATATGTGCATATGTATGTATACTATTATTATTATTTATTTTTTTAATAACTGAATGAATTCTGTGTAGGGCTCAGGATGAGCAGCACGCTCAGGAGGTTTCCCGGTTCCAGGAGGAACTGGCCAAGGCTCACTTCCAGCTCCAGGTGCTCCAGAAACAGCTGGAAGAAGAACTGGCCAAGCAGCCGCTCACCCACCAAGAGGTATAGTCACTGAGTTCAGGTCAAAGGTCGCTGTGACTGCGCTGGTAAATTTGAGTTGATGACGAAATGTGCGGTGACTCTTGGACCAGGTGGAGGACCTGAAGTGGGAGCTGGAGCAGAAGCAGAGGGAGCTGGAGGCTCAGAGGCAGCAGGTGGAGATGGTGGAGCAGTGTCATCACAGGAAGCTGGACAACCTCCAGACAGCCCTGCAGGTCAGTGCTGGAAGTGCACAGGCCCAGATGCACTGTGCTAAAGTACTGAACTAGTTATATGAATATTACCGTATAATATATATATATATACACACAGTATGTGTGTGTATATGTTTATATATGTATATATGTGTATATGTGTGTATATGTATATATGTGTATATACAGTATGTATATATGTACATATATGTATATGTATATATGTACATATATGTATATGTATATATGTACATATATGTATATATGTGTATAAATATGTATATATGTGTATATATGTATATGCATATATGTGTGTATATATCTATGTATATATGTGTGTATAAATGTCCATATGTGTGTGTATATATGTACATATATGTGTATGTATGTGTATATGTATACATGTGTATATATGTACATATATATGTGTGCATATGTATGTATATATATAAATATATATATGTGTATATATTTGTATATATTTATGTATATATTTGTATATATTTATGTGTGTGTAAATATATATATCCCGTCCCCCGTTGTCTCCATGTTCACCCCCCCTCTTACTCCTGCCCAGAACATCAAGGTGGAGCTGGAGTCGGTGCAGGAGGAGCTGAGCAGCACCAGGAAGGACAAGTTCATGCTGCAGGCTAAAGTGAGTGAACTGCGGAACAGCATGAAGACCGTTCTGCTGCAGAACCAGCAGCTGAAGCAGGAACTGAAACAGAACCGAGTAAGGAAGGTGAGGACCTGTGGACAGGTAGTTTTACTGCACCTTTACACAGTTGACATTACACGTCGTTTTATGGTTCTGAACTAAAGAGAAAAAAAAACCATGTGCTGTTGTCCATTTGTACTCAAGCACATAGGATCAACCACTGGACCGTGGGCCCGTATCAGGCCAGTGGTCATCTGTTACCTGGGTCAAGAAAAAATAAAATAAAAAACTTAACATTTTATTTACCGTCTGTGACAAGTACGAGTAAGCTTGTGTCGTTTTTGCAACAGCGTATGGAGTTGAAGAGTGAGGGGAACCAGTCCAACCCAGTGACACCGGTCAGGATCCCAGACTGTCCAGTTCCTGCCTCTCTGCTGGACGAACTACTGAAACCGTCAACTTCAGTCAACAAGGAGCCGCTGAACAACCTGCACAACTGTCTGCGGCAACTCAAGTACGTCACTCTAATGTGTATATACTGTATATGTGTATATATGTATATATATGGATGTATATGTACATATGTGTATATATGTATATATATGGATGTATATGTACATATGTGTATATATGTATATATATGGATGTATATGTACATATGTGTATATATGTATATATATGGATGTATATGTACATATGTGTATATATGTATATATATATATGTGTGTGTATATATGTATGTGGGTATATATATGTATATGTGTGTATATATATGTATATGTATGTATATATGTGCATATATGTATAAATGTGTATATATGTATATATATGGATGTATATGTACATATGTGTATATATGTATATATATATATGTGTGTGTATATATGTATGTGGGTATATATATGTATATATGTGTATATATGTGTGTATATATATGTATATGTATGTATATATGTGCATATATGTATAAATGTGTATATATGTATATATATGGATGTATATGTACATATGTGTATATATGTATGTATGTATGTGTATATATGTGTATGTATGTATATATATGATATGATGTTTTGTTGTGATTTCCCTCCAGGGAGGAGATGGACAGTCTCCAGAGGCAGATGGAGGAACACACAATAACCGTCCACCAGTCGGTCAGCTCATTGACTAACACAGAACTGGAGCTGCAGAACAGCGTCACCAAATCATCCATCCCTCTGAAGAACGCCGGGCTGGAGGACGAGGAGGAGGAAGAGCAAGAGCAGTGCTCCTAAAAGAAGAACTTTTCTGTCCAGCCACCAGAGGGAGCGTGGACTTTTACTCACTGAGGCACTTTTTTTAAGTCCCACGTCTCTTCCTCTTTTGAATTTGCTGCCAACATTTGGCATTTTCCCATCAGGCACTGGGGTGCTGTCAGAGTAAAACCCGGCTGTGTTTGTTTGTTTGTTCTGCTGTGTGTGGAGGTTGTTTATAGCTTTCTTTATTTATTTACAGGTGGAGAACGGACAGTTCTCACCTGCAGTCTTTACAATAACCCTCCATCACACACATACGCACACATGCAGGTACGACTAACGAGTGTTAGCGCCACACTGAGGGAAAAAAATGACATGACAAAAGCTGCAGGTTAAAAAAAAATTGAGATTTTTAATCCCATAAATCTTTATTTTATTCCAGTGTCACTTCCATAAACTGATGTTTTTTGTTTTGTTTTTTCACAAAAATGAACTTTGCTTTTTTGTAACATCACTAACGACTAATGATTCCCTTTAACATTCTACTACTTCCTCATATCAGTGCGAGCAGCTTTTACTCTCAGAAACATACGACGTACAATATAATTTTTTCCCCTTAATTTTTAGTTTTAAAACTCAGACATTTTTTTCCTCCTCTCGTTGATTAGTTTGTTAAAAAAAAAAGAACACAAACAGCAGATGTGAAGTCGTGCCTGTTGTTCAAGTGAAGCGGTTTATTCAACTGACTTGCTAATGCTAACGCTAACTACCCACCACTGTGTCTGAGAAGCCTGTGATGACTCGTCAAACGCTAACGGTTTCCCCGTAGTGTTTATGGGATGGTCTCCACAATATCAGTCACTCAGTTCTGGAACAATTTTCATCTCGCAAGAGTCCAGAACTTTTTTTTTCTTTCGTTTTTTCACTGGCACGGACTGCAGTGATTTGCACGCAATAAAGCCTTAAGTATCGTTAACCCGTCGTTGAGGGATCGAAGTTGACGAACGGCGCGTTTCTGTGGAGACTGTGTGCAAGGTGTAAAATGTTGTACTGTTTATATATATATATATATATGTGATATTTCTGATGAATGGCTAGTTGCGAGGCTAACTGATCACTAACTGAGGTGGATCGATGATTGACAGAGATTTTTATTCCTTCATTTGGTACATGCCTGTATTTACAAAGACAAAAAGAAGCATTGAA